GCTCTTTTTTCAAGAACAGCTCTTATCAGAGCTACGGCTTGCCCAAGGTCATCCAGCAGCTGCGAGTGGAGGAGTGGGGAATCAAACCCGGTTCTCCCAGATTAGAGTCCGTGCACTTAACCGCTACACCAAACTGGCTCTCATTATGACCCAAGGTCGTAATGGCCCCACCCAGTTTCAGAAAGGCTTGGTGGGTGCCAGAAAAAGTACTGGCGGGTACCACATTGTTGGGGAACCCCACAATAGGTTGAGCGCCTGCTAAAAAAAAAATTCAAGACAGCTCAAAGGACTGGATTTGGTGATTAGAATAAAATGCAATGCAATTTTTTTTTTTAACACACTCATTGTTTTTCTTTGTGGCTAAAGGAAGCAGATTTAGCTCTTTGGTCTTGTTTTGAAGCAGCTGGTTATTTGGATTAAACTCCAGATGAATGGTTATGTTAATCTGTAGCAACAAGAGTTTTTTTAAAAAATGCTGCGTCTAACTGATGATTAAACAAAAAATGTTTTAAGCATCTTTCCAGAACTTGTTGTTTACACTGGGAGGGTATGCCGCCACTAAACTACCTTGACAACATCCCCCTCTGCAAGTGCGGCCTGCTCATCAAGAGAAGAAGAGATTGGAGTTATACCCCGCTTCACTACCCAAAGGAATCTCAGAGCACCTTAAAAATCTCCTTTCCCTTCCCCTCCCCACAACAGACGCCCTGTGAGGTGGGTGGGGCTGAGAGAGCTCTTGAGACAACTGCTCTTGAGAGAACAGCTCTGAAATAACTTGACTGACTCAAGGTCATACCAGCACCTGCATGTGGAGAAGTGGGGAATCAAACCCAGTTCTCCCAGATTAGAGTCCGTGCTTCTAACCACTACACCAAACTGGCTCTCAGGGGAACACTAGGAGACTGCCTAGGATGCCAAAATTCTAGGGATTCTGGGGATGCAGCTATGTAAATATCTTGGAGAGCCACTGCCTGCAGTTTTGAAAGAGATATATGGAGGTCCCTTAGCAGCTGGCAAACTGAATGGTATCTCCTGCATTCCACAAGACACTATCAAGTGGTCATATCTTCATGGACTGTCCAGGGCAGATATGCTGTAGCAAAGGGGAGAAAATAATCACAGGAATTTAAAGTACACATGGGGGAAATTATCCATCATTGATTCTTAATTTTAATGTGCTATATTGTTGTTCTGCAGCAGCAGCAGCAGCAACAACAAAATCTTGGTCTGGCCCTGCCAGCAATTGCTTACTTTGTGAGTAGAATCACTTCACTGGTATTCAAACTACAGAATGGTGGTAAACTGTGCATCTTGTCTAGCAACCATATCCATCACAGCCAATTTACTATAAGGATTGTCCTTGTGTTAGAACCTTCTGGATGCAAGGCAGGATATAAGTTAATAATAATAATAACAACAACAACAACAATAATAATAATATCTTCCCTCCAAAGCCAGACTAGCCCAACTTTTTTCATAACACTAAGAGAAATAGGACCACTCATACCAGATTGGTTTTAGTTTCACTTTCTGGGAATGATTGTTTGAAAAGGCCAGAGATGTCAGAACACTTGAGAGGGTATAAGAATTTGGGCTGGATAGCCGTAGAAAATAATGCATGCAGAATACCCTGTTTACTTTTCAGCGGGATAGAATTTACTCTTCATATTGTATCCATGCATTTTACCTAGCTATCCAAGCTAAATAGTGCTGTAGTGGTTTATATCTGTAGATTTTACAGTGAAAATCTCAAATTTGGTGAATGCCGGCTTTCACAAACTTTGAGACTGTTTCAAAACAGATACAGTTGCTCCACGGTTCAGATATACACATGTGAATACCACAGGTACAATTGGGTGATGGTCAGCATTCACCTGGGCATCTCTAAATATTTGGAAATTCACAAATACTACCTGGGATTGTAATATGGGCCCCTTTCTAAATTGGATCTTCTTTGTTGTTGGCCCGATTTTGAGTAAAGCAATACAGGGACGGGAGTTTTGTACTGCAGATTTCCTTCTGTTAATGAGCTCTCTCTGAGGTGCTATGGTCATTTCAAATAGTGCTACTTTTTTCACCCGGCCTTTTTTTGTCACGCAATCTTCCTCATATTTTTGTAATGTTCTAAGTTGAGTGCTATAACGCTAAGCCAATATAGCACTTCAGTGCTACAGTGGCATCACTGAGATGCCTTGACTTCATTGACTTCAGTTGCCATCTCACTGTATCTCAGTGGAGTCAAGGCATCTTAATGGTGCCGCTGTAGCGCTGAAGTGCTATATTGGTTTAGCGCTGTAGTGCTCAACTTAGAACATTCAAAAATGTGAAGAAGATCGTGCAGTGAAAAAGGCGGGGGGAGGGGAGAAGCGGCCTTGTAGGAAGCGCTACGGGCATTTTAAACAGGACACCACGATGATTCAGAAGTGCAACGAAGAGGTGGAAATGGGAAGAAAGCCATTTACCTCAACAATCGCTCAGCCACGCTTTGCTAACCTGAGGCGAGGGCCTTTGTATGAACAGGTAAATAAAATCCATAGGACTGCTAACTCAGCTGGGGGGGGGGAAACGGCGGGGGGGGGGGGGGGAACCCATTCGCAACCAGCTATGAGGCAGAGGTGTTTGCTCTGTGTTACATGGCCCATTTCAGAAAATAAAAACTTTTCCAGCACAAATTGAGGGAGAAACAAACCCAGTCTTGTCTGGGTGTGGAAAAGCCAAGTCCATGTATGCTTCTCTGGCTCCAGTAGATAATTTGCTACATTGCTGCCTTTTACACAGAGGATTGGAAAGACATTTTGTTTTCTATTTTTTCCCTCCCCCCCTCCTCTTTCCACTCTATGATCTAGACACCACTAACTGTTTGGAGTTGATGACGGGGAGACTTTCCAAATGTGGTAAGACCTTCCCTTCCACCTTCTCTTCCGCTCTGCCCTTCACCGATCGACACGATGACCCATTCACGCCTCCCCCACGGGACACCTCTCCCCCTCTCGACATTCTTTACAGTGACCCACCTTATCTCTTGCTTGCCTCTTGAACACACACCTCGCTCAGCTTTTCCTCCACCATGCACACGTGTACAACCCCACCATGGTTCAAGCTGCACAGCACACGCGGGCGTGATTTCACTTGCAAGTTCCTTTCCTCACACCACCCTCCCCCTCCCAGTGTCTGGCGATGTTTATATGCTTTGAAGCCTCTACTCTTACTTCTTGTTCAAATCACCCTTTCTCTGCTCTGCAGCTCTGTGCCACTTCCCTTGCCGCTGTGCTACTGCCTGGCTCCCCATACCTCATGCTGTGAAGAGGACAACAAGGTTCCGCCTTAATTCCCCCACTCTTGCCCTAGTATGTCTAGGGAAATTCCTCTCTTTCTCTCACGATACACGAATATCTCGCATCACAGGCTGCATCCTTAACTGTTGTCAATAAGATTCGCTCCAGCCCGACTCGGATGGGAACATATTGAGAAACTAGAAGCTAACTGGAGGGAAAATAAGAACATAAGAACATAAGAACATAAGAGATGCCAATGTTGGATCAGGCCAAAGGCCCATCCAGTCCAACACTCTATATCACACAGTGGCCAGAAATACCAGGTGCCATCAGGAGGTCCACCAGTGGGGCCAGGACATTAGAAGACCTCCCACTGTTGACCCCCCCCCAAGCACCAAGATGACAGAGCATCACTTGCCCCAGAGCCCCTATCTATACCTTGTGGCTAACAGCCACTGATGGACCTCTGCTCCATATGCTTATCTAATTCCCTTTTGAAGCTGTCCATGATTGTAGCCACCACCACTTGCTGTGGCAGTGAATTCCAAGTGTTAATCACTCTTTGGGTGAAGAAGTACTTCCTCTTATCCGTTCTAACCCGACCGCTCAGCAATTTCATGGAGTGCCCACGAGTTTGTATTGAAATTAGTTTGCATTGAAATTAATCAACCCATTTGGTTTGATGTTGCATAGCTAATCTCTAGACAGCCTGTTAGTCCACTGCCAAGGACTTCTTCTGCCTTTCTCTGCTCCTTTCTAAAAGCAAAATATAAAAACCTCTGGAAAAGATTACTTATTTTGACTCCGTTACAAGACACACCCAGCATCGCTTCAGACAACCGGTTCTCTCTTGAATAGCTTCGCCGTAATCTGAGCTCCAAACATGTTGATGCTCTTCCATGACTGACTACTTGATTTGGAGTCATATCTATGACGTCATTTACGCCGGTTTGGAACTTATGTCAGGTTTCCACTGATAAAAACAAAAGGAGAACTTGGCTTTTGCCGGTGGCCGCTTTTCATTTCAGCACACTAACTGAACTAGAGTATCTTTCACTTCTCTGAGGGAGATAGTTTTGCTTTGTTATCCAGCCTACTGGGATGTGTTGCCCCCAATCTGTATTTTCTATTAGCTTATAATGGGATTTCTCAGGTTGTTTACTGACATGAGGCCTGTTTTATTTTATTTTATTTTCCTGGAGAGAGAGAGGAGTACGTATGACAAATTGAAAAGTGGCCCAGCAATGTGGATGTGGTGCCGTGGTGGACCAGCTAGCCATTGTGTAGTGTGGACGACTGCCTTATCTGTTTGCCCAAGGAAAGTGCTACGTTTGCAGAGTAAAGGGACTGTACAAGAAGGCCTGAAAGAGCTGGGTGTCTTGGAGGGCTCCCGCCACTCAGTTGACAGCAGGGCTTTTTTTTTTTTAGAAAAAGCCCAGCAGGAACTCATTAGCATAATAAGCCACACCCAACAGCAGAAACTCATCAGCATATCAGGCCACACCCGACAGCACAGCTCCTTAGCATATCAGGCCACACCCCCATGCCTTCCCTTGGCTTGCTCAGTCACCCCGCAGCTGCAGGGAGCCCGGGCAAGCCAGCCCTTGGACAGGCCGGGGAAGGCACGGGGAGGCATTTAAATGCCTTCCCAATCCTTTCAGGGGCCCCCCCTGGCCCGCTCACCTTGGAGTTGCCGGGGGGGTATCGCTCTCCAGGCCTTCCCCCTGTAGCCAGGCACACAGAGGTTTTGGCTGTAGTGGGCGTGGCCAACTCTGAAGCCAGCCGGAACTCCGTTCCTGTGCCTTCCTGCCGAAAGATAGCCCTGGTTGTCAGAGAGCGAACCAGTTTGATTCAGCTTGTGGTTCAGTTCACAATTTGGCCATGAATCATGAAATGAACTGTTTGGTGTGTTTTTTTGTTGTTGTTCATGCCCATTTCTAACACATACATAGTAGTGGGCCTGGACTGAAAGCGACCTCACCACATTTATTTCAAATGCATCCGTTCCATTCTAGGCGAATCTCTGGGAACAGGGGAAAATGTTCTGCAAATTTGCAACAGAAGCCAGCTGTGCATCGTGTTGATTGATTCCCTCCTCCTAGGTTGTCGCCAATAACAGCCCAATCCTTGGATCAGTCCCCCCTTTAAAAAAAACCCTTTCTTTTTCTAAATAATGATAGCACATGCCAAAGAAGGAGACGGCAGAATGGAATGTACTACTTCAGATGCAGGTGAAGAACTGCAGGGTACGTGTTCCTTCACGCACAAACCTCCATGATAATAGAAGACTGGCACAGCAGGGAGAAAGCTACTTCCTTTGCTCGATGTATTGGTTTTCTATCTTCAGGGAGTTTTAGATGGGAGCATATCTCAGCCGGTGCTGAAGGCACTGCACTGGCTGCCAATAGCATACAGAATTTGCTTCAAGGTGCTGGTACTTACCTTTAAAGCCCTATACGGCCAGGGTCTGACATACCTGAGGGACTGCCTTTCCCCATACATACTCCAGAGAGCACTATGGTCGGGGTCACAATGTCGGCTAACTACCCCAGGCTCACTGTTACCAGGGCCAGGGCCTTTTTGGTGGTGGCTCCTACCTGGTGGAATGAGCTCCTGGCGGTGATCAAGGCCCTGTGGGACCTGGTACAGTTTCCGCAAGGCCTGCAAAACGGAGCTCTTCCACCAGGCTTTTAACTAGGAGCCGCCCACCACTACCACCAACTGTTACTGTCATTAACATCGTGGTAATAGGTTGGGCCCTCCATGAGATCGAGCCAGAGCTCCGTGGGAGGCTGAAGGACCGCTAAATCAGGACCCTAGTATCTCACCTTAGTGTACGCCACCTCAAACTCATTGGAGAACGACTGCGGGCACTTTATTGTATTTAATGCCTATTTATGGCACGTTTGTTTTATCTTGTTTTTGAATGTTTTATGCGAACGTTGGCACATGGTGCCACCGACTGTGAGCCGCCCTGAGCCCATTCATGGGGAGGGCGGGATAATTAATTAAACCTCCGTTATCCACAACCAGCCACCTGGATTGGCATAGTCCATTCTAACCACTTTAGCATTCTATCACCTTATTCCCACCTCATTCTTCTGCATGTGTAAATCAGGCCTCAGACCTTGAAGGACGCAGGGCTCACTGCATATCCAAGAGATTTGTGAGCACCGTGGTTCTGTTTTGTCTGCCTTCACCTTTTATTGCCACCTTTGGGCTATGTAGTGCACTTCTCATAAATGCAACAGAAGGAAAGCCCATATAAGATTCCAAAACACTTTCAGAGGTTATCAATTTGTGTTTGTCACCCCAGATCAATAAACCCCCCCCCCCGCAAGCTGGGCAACACAGACCAAAACATTAGAGCTGCACCACGCTGCTTATTACCTCTTAAATTCTCTTGCCTTAGCCTGTGTTTCCTGCGGCTCTGCAGCTTAAAGGATTAAGCACAACATTCTTTCAATTGTCACAAAATCCTGCAGTGATAGCAAGGTATAAGGCAGGTCTATGTCCTTTTTAATTTGTCCGGGCTTTGAATGACACCTTGGTTTTATAAGCAAACCTGATCCTGAAGCCTGCTCAAAATGAGCATGTAAATAAGACTCCAGAGATTCTTTTTTAAAAAGCTAAATAAAGTAATAGCTGAGAGGACTGTCGGTGATTATTAGCTAAGACAAGGCAGCCTTATTCTCAGTACATCACTTGACCTTAAACTCCCGGAGTGAGCAACAGGGAATAGAGTGTTTTATTAATGCCCTTACACAGTTCCCTGCAATACATTAGATCCTGGTCACTAGTGGAGATGTGATGCTCGCCTAGATGTACCAGCAGTCTGTCACTAACAAGGTTCTTACAATGTTTTTAATTATCCTTGTATTGGGAAGGAATGAGTGTTGCAGCCCCAGCATTGAAAGGAGGAGCGGCAGGTGTGCCGGGCAAACGACAAGACTACACCTTGTGTGGGAAAACAGGCCACAACTTTTATTGACCGCAGCAGCCAAGGTTTGATTTGGCACAGGGAAATGGATCCAAGGCATCAAGTGACCTGCCTGCCACTCGATACTTAAAGGACAGGATCACGAAACGGCGGGGAAAATGGGGCGAAGCCGTGGGGCAAAATGCGGCCGTGCGGCTTTGAGTGGGAAATTGACCAATAGAAGCGGGGCAAAGGGAGGCGAGACCACGGCGTAGCTCTTGTGTGAAATCGGTCAAGGAGTACTGTAGACCCTTTGCTTGAGCTGAGTGCTTTCCCACTGAGCTAAAACCAGGGAGACCTGCCTCTTCTCCTCTGTGCAAAGTTGGTGCTTCCAGGACTGAGTAGGGGCTGCTGCAAAAAGCAGACCCCCCCCCAAACTTGGGACCAAGTCTAGGCAACTCCCCACAGCCCTTCAGGCACTTCCTCTCTGGCTGTGGCATCAGGGAGCAAGGGTGAAGGCAGAAAGGGAGGATTAAAAAGTCATCCTTGTTTGCACTGCCCTCTTCCTTTCCCTCCGCATGTTTCTTGCCATAGACTCATTTAAGTTGTCCCATAGTACATAGTACATGCCATGATCTTAGTTTTTTTTAATGTTGAGCTTCAAGCCCACTGCCTCCTGTGGCAGTGAATTCCATGTGTT